AGCGATTAAACGTCATATAAATATTGAAATTGGCAACTTCAAATATACATTTAAATTATGATCATTTTAAAAAAAATAAAAGGGTTGTTATTTTGCGCGAACAATTCTCGAAATTCCTTCCTTGTCAGTTAAGGGGCATTTCCATGGATTCCCCATACAAAATATTATTGCCCAAATTTTTAGATAAAATAGATATATTAAATAACAAATTCATTTGAATCTAAAAGGTACTATTTTGTTCGAAAAAATCTTGGAAACACACTCCTTGTTAGTTAAGGCGCGTTTCTATCAATTCCTCGAGTAAAATAATATTTGAAAATATTACAACTAGTGGGACATTAACAAATATATAAATGATGGACCAAAATAATAAAAATGTTAACTTTAGGGATTAAACTATACAACCAACAAGAAATCAGGGCAACCATTGCAAATATTTCATAGATTAGGTGCTGCAATCGTAAATAAACCAAATTTAATCATCCATGACCAAGATGGAATTCATTAAAATAAGGCACTCAAATTAAAATATTTCTAAAAAATAAGATAACAAGTGAAATAGGACTGAAATGAAATAAAAATAAAAACAATATCCAAATCATAAACCATTAGTGACCAAAATGTATAAATTGAAGATATCATATCTAAATTATAATTAAATAATAAACAGAACCCAAACAATGGTTAAAATGAATAAAAATAAAAACCAGTGACAAAATTTGAATAAATCACAATAATAAAAATGACTAAATGGAAACAAGCACAAATTATAATACCAAATTACAGAAATAAAATAAACAAAAGACTAGTGACCAAAATAGAAAAACACACATGAAGTAGAGGGATCTGGAAGAAAATAAAAGGTTAGTGCGCAAAAATAAGAAGGGAAAATCACTAAATCAGTCCCTAAGTATTTTAAAAAAATTTGAACAGTCACTAAACATGACCAAAATGCAAAACACGCCTAAAAGTACAGGTACCAAACAACAATTAAACCAAAAATATATAACATGCATAAGAAACAGGTAAATTACAAAAATGATCCATGAAAGTGACCATTTTGTAAAAACACACCTAACTTAGGGAGACCTAAGTGTAATTTCCCCCAAAATTTTCTATAAATATCATCTTTATTTCAATCTTTTTTATTTTTTTTAATTTTTTCTTTTAAAATATTTCTAGAGAAATGATCTCCATTCTCTCTAGAAAATCTGTTATCGCTGGTGGCTTACAACTCGCCGGCCGCCGTTCCATCCGTCGTCGGCCGTCGCCGCTGGTTGTCATTGGTCACCAAATTTTACCATGAGGCTCACCTTGACCTCCCTGTCTCTAATCTGGGTCGGTTTCGCGAGAATCGACCCAAAGCTTCACAAAAATGGCCAAGATTATCTCAACTTCCACTGTCCCAATCTCCGCCGTCCGTCGTCGGATTGGGCCAATTTTCAAAGATGTTGTTCTCCATCATCTTCTCCACATCCTCACCATTCGGGTCTTGGAAAGGTGACCCTGACCACCGACAAAGCTCCGGTCGAATGGTAAGAACCCCTATTCTCTTCTCTATCTTGCTTCAGTTTTGTTTGGTTTCAAATATATTGTTTTTTTTTAAATGAGAAGATGGAAAGTTGAAAAAAAACGATTCCCAAATGCTTCTTTCTGATTAATGAAAAATAGGGAATGATACAATGATTTTTCGAGGAACCCTTTAACTATTTTTATAATTTTTTTCGAATCGGGGAGCCTTTTTACGAACTCTCCCGCTTTACAAATTGTTTTTTTTCCTGAATGAATCCCCTTTGTTTTCTTAAAACTGAAACAACCTCCCTTCTTCCAGAAAGCCATCCCCCTATTACATTTAGAATAATAAGTATATATCTCTGATTTGTTGCATGGGTTGATTGACAAGGAATGATGGTGGCGTGCTCATTTGGTTATGGCAGGAGTAACTGATGGTGGCAGGAGTAGTTGGGGTTACAGTGATGGCACAGTGGCTTCACGTGGGAGATCAAACCGAGTCCGGTTCGGGTTGGTTGAATTGGGTCAGTTTTTGGGTTGTTAGGCCCGATTTGGGTACTTGTTGTACTAGCCTGCAAAGGAAATAAAATAAATGTTAATAATAATAATAAAAATAATAATAATAAAATAAAGACGGGTTCGGGTTAAAACGGATGTCGACAGGGGTAAATTATGTGTTTAGTAGCTAGATTATCAATGTTGATTTGTTTTAGTACCTAAACTTTCAATTTTTCAAGACCATACCTAAAGTTTAGTTTTTGTTTCATTTTAGTATCCCTCTGTTAAAAACTTTAGTTTTTGTTTTATTTTAGTACACCGTTCAAAATTTAACACCGAGTTTTGAAAAAAAAATGAAAGTTCATGTACTAAAACGGACAAAAACTAATAGTTTAGGCACTAAATGCGTTAATTTTTTTAATGGCGGGTACTAAAATTAAATGAAAACTAAACATTAGGTTTGGTTTTGAAAAAAATAAAAGTTTAGGTACTAAAAATGGCTAAAACTGAAAGTTTAGGTAATAAATACATAATTTACCCTTAAAATGATATCATCAATTCTGTTAATTTTTTAATAATGGATACCAAAATAAAATATAAACTAAACTTTAAGTGTGATTTTGAAATAAATATAAAGTTTGGATACTGAAATGAAATAAAAATAATAATTTAAGTGATAAACTTGTAGTTTACCCTTATAACTATTAGAACACCTTAATTCCTTAGAATATATAAAAAAATGATTTAAGGAATAAAAATAGAAAACAACTTCGCCTAGATTGTCAGTTTGCAGCTAGCACATTATTAGTACTTGTACAAGAAAACTTAACGGTCACGTTAACTTGTATGTAATCATTAAAAAGGGGTAAATTATGTGTTTAGTATCTAGATTATTAGTCTTGATTCATTTTAGTACCTAAACTTTCAATTTTTCAAGACCGTATCTAAAGTTTAGTTTTGTTTTATTTTAGTATACCTCTGTTAAAAACTTCAATTTTTTGTTTCATTTTAGTATATTGTTCAAAATTTAACACCGAGTTTTGAAAAAAATGAAAGTTCATGTACTAAAACGGATAAAAACTGATAGTTTAGGCACTAAACGCATTAAGTTTTTTAATGGAAGGGTACTAAAATTAAATGAAAACTAAACATTAGTTATGATTTTGAAAAAAAATAAAAGTTTGGATACTAAGAAGGGCTAAAACTGAAAGTTTAGATACTAAATACATAATTTACCCTTAAAATGATATCTAAAATTATTTTATTTTTTTAATAATGGATACCAAAATAAAACATAAGCTAAACTTTAAGTGTGATCTTGAAATAAAAATAAAGTTTGGGTACTGAAATGAAATAAAAATAATAATTTAAGTGCTAAACGTGTAGTTTACCCTTATAACTATTAGAACACCTTAATTCCTAAGAATATAAAAAAAATATCTTTTAAGGAATAAAAATACAAAACAAACTTTGCCTAGATTGTCAGCTAGCAGCTAGCACATTATTAGTACTTGTACAAGAAAACTTAACAATAACGTTAACTTGTATGTAATCATTAAAAGGGTAAATTATGTGTTTAGTATCTAGATTATCAGTCTTGATTCGTTTTAATACCGAAACTTTCAATTTTTCAAGATCGTACTTAAAGTTTAGTTTTGTTTCATTTTATTATCTCTTTGTTAAAAACTTTTGTTTTTGTTTCATTTTAGTACACCGTTCAAAATTTAACACCGAGTTTTGAAAAACAAATTAAAGTTCATGTACTAAAACAGACAAGAACTATAGTTTGGGAACTAAACGCGTTAAGTTTTTTAATGGCGGGTACTAAAATTAAATGAAAACTAAATATTAGGTATGATTTTGAAAAAAATAAAAGTTTGGGTACTAAAAAGGGCTAAAACTGAAAGTTTAGATATCAAATACATAATTTACCCTTAAAATGATATCTACAATTCTGTTAATTTTTTAATAATGGATACCAAAATAAAAGATAAGTTAAACTTTAAGTGTGATTTTGAAATAAAAATAAAGTTTGGGTACTGAAATACCCTTATAACTATTAGAACACCTTAATTCCTCAGAAAATATAAAAAAACATCTTTTAAGGAATAAAAATACAAAACAACTTTGCCTAGATTGTCAGCTAGCAGGTAGTACATTATTAGTACTTGTACAAGAAAACTTAACAGTAACGTTAATTTGTATGTAACCATTGAAAAGGGGTAAATTATGTGTTTAGTATCTAGATTATCAACCTTGATTCGTTTCAGTACCTAAGCTTTTAATTTTTTAAGACCGTACCTAAAGTTTAGTTTTTGTTTCATTGTAGTATCTCTCTGTTAAAAATTTTAGTTTTTGTTTCATTTTAGTACACCGTTCACAATTTAACACCGAGTTTTGAAAAAAAATGAAAGTTCAAGTACTAAAATTGCGTTAAGTTTTTTAATGGCGGGGTACTAAAATTAAACGAAAACTAAACATTAAGTATGATTTTGAAAAAAATATAAAAGTTTAGGTGCTAAAAAGGGCTAAAACTGAAAGTTTAGGTACTAAGTACACAATTTACCCTTAAAATGATATCATCAATTCTGTTAATTAATAATGGATACCAAAATAAAACATAAACTAAACTTTAAGTGTGATTTTGAAATAAAAATAAAGTTTGAGTACTGAAATAAAATAAAAGTATAATAATTTAAGTGTTAAAAGTGTTGTTTGCCCTTATAACTATTAGAACACCTTAATTCCTAAGAATATAAAAAAAAAACTTTTAAGGAATAAAAATACAAAACAACTTTGCCTAGATTGTCAGCTAGCAGCTACCACATTATTAGTGCTTGTACAAGAAAAAGGGAAAAGAAAACTATATTTGATTGAAGGATACGTAAATGGGAAAATTATAACTATTAGAACACCTTAATTCCTAAGAATATATAAAAAAAAAAAAAAAAACTTTTAAGGAATGAAAATACAAAACAACTTTGCCTAGATTGTCAGCTAGCAGCTACCACATTATTAGTGCTTGTACAAGAAAAAGGGTAAAGAAAACTATATTTGATTAAAGGATACGTAAATGGGAAAAAGAAAAGAAATTATTTGGCATTGGAAGTGCAGCGTGAAGGAATGTAGGTTCCATTGAAAGGATGGAAATGCAAGTGGCAATCGAGATGACACAAGAACCGAACCGACCCAAGGCGGCCCACTCTCCATCTCACCCTGGCGCTTCCTTTCAGATCCAACGTGATATAATCACGCTTCAACGCCGTATCCACATTCTGAGCTTGTTCTGGATCCAAGGGTATGGGCGACGACTGAACCAAATAATGGAAATCAACCGAACTGTTCTTACTCACTTCGAACGGCGGCGCCACCAGCCGGGCTATATCTTCCCCGTTCAAGCTGAGAGTGTAATTGGAATGCGAGAAGCTGGCGTGCGCCATCTTGTTCCCGTTCTGAGCTCGGATCACGATGGTGGCCTGAATCTGCAGAATGCCTGCGTAATCGATCCGCAAGGGATCGAGGTGAGCGCCCACGACGCTGACGTAAGGCACCCTGGGATGTATGACTAAGTAGCCTACGAAGGTGACGATGCCTGCGATGATTACGGCTAAAGTGATGACGGTGCAGACGATGGCGGCGCACCAGAGCCAGAGGGGCGTACGGCGTTCACGACCGGAAGAGAATTTTGGATTTGTGGGCATTGGGTTCGGGGGTGGATGGATGGCAGCAGCATCCGGTGAGATTTTTATTCTTATTGTGGGTTGGGTTTGTGCAAATTGTGAATGGGCAAGGGTAAAGGTGAAGATGAAGGAAAGGTATAAGATTGGGCGTAATTGGTGGGGAAGGTTTTCGTATCTTCCTTTCTTTTTTTTTCTTGCTTTTCCTATGTAGACATGTACACGCATTTCCATTTTCTCCTCCTTTCTTTCCTATTCTCTAGAATATGCACTTCATTATCTTATATTAACTTTTTAATATGCTTTTGCGTTGTTCATCTTTTTTACATCTAATTGTTAATCAATTTCTTTTTTATAATAAACTTCACAACATATAATTTAATATATTTTAGTAATAAGAAAATATATATACCTAAGATTTTATGTTAAGCGAAATTTTTAAAATTTTACAGGAGACAAATTTATAAATTTTTAGGGGTGAAAAATATTAAAAGAAAAAAATCTAAAATATATGATAATTTAAAAATTTTAAAAAAACGATTGCCTCAACCCTAATCCATTTTTGATAATATATATAACCCTAAACCCTTAAACTCTAAATCTTAAATTGTAAACATTAAATCATAAATCTTATACCCTAAACTTTGAATCTTGAACCCTAAACCCTAAACCCTAAACATTTGTATTGTATATTTTAAAATGTTTAACACGATACATGTATTTTGGTAAAAAAAATTAATGTGGTACCAATATTTTGAAACAAAAATTAATGTGGCACTTAAACTATTATTATGTGTATTATTATTAGTACTAACTCAAATATCATATTAATACGTGAATGAAATTTCACATACTACACTTACTAGCAATGTTAATTCAAGTATCATATTATACAAAATGATGATTCAAGTTCTAGCAAAGTATAAATATTACATTGAACATCTTAAAAATATATATACCGAATTAGATATTTAATCAGAATATAAGTTTCATTTTAAACATTTTTTCCAAAAAAAAAAACAAGTACCACATTAGATACTTTAAAAGTACATGCACTACATTAAATTTTTAATTAAAATACATGTACCAAAAAAAATAGGTATTTCAGGTCACAGTCCAGCTTTTGCTAGGCTTGAGAAACAACACCATTAATAAGCTCAAGCCCATTTCGATTTTTTTTAATTTTTGGAAATTTAGTAAAAGACTCCTGGGATGAACCAGCTCAAGGTAATCCAATTATTAGGGGTGGATGTACTAAGCCTCATAAGGAATAAGTGTATCATATTATTTAAAGAATAATGTGAAATTTAATTTAACGTGAGATAGAAAAATGAAAAAAATAAAAACTTTCGTATACTCATTATTTTTAAAAATATATTAAAATTTTCAACTCTTATTCTTAAATTTCTGGATCTGTTAATCAAAAAATAAAGAGTTATTAGAAGACGTGAGCTGGAAAGTATACCGTTTGTTAATCTTGCTACCAGAGCACTATTCCAATGAGAAGCAGATTCATAAAGAGTTATTAGAGGCAGGGCAGCAGCAAAACAATTTAAATTAGATTTGTTTGGATTTTGGGTATTAACCAATAAGAAGAAAACAAAAATGAAATTTCATCATTTTATTTTGCTCTTTCATCTTCTTCCTCTGTTCACAAGAACGTGGGTTCAGAATTGTAACAGAAACTTGGCGGTTTTTTTGTGTGTGGTAATTTTGCTCCTTCGTGAGTTATATTACTTGGTTATTCAATTTGGCCATTCACTTATTGGTAATTAATTGAAGATTTTTGGAAGGGATTGATGGAATCAACAAGTGACAGATTTAAAAATGAGAGTTTAATTTTTTTTTAAAAATGAGTATGTAAAATTTCATTTTTTTTCTCTGTCCATTCGTTAATATATTGAAATAAGTTTCATGCTGAAAACATCTTTCATGTTTCATTTAAAGTATTTAGAGGTTCTCATATGAATCTGTAGCAAAATATGTTGTTAATTTGTTGTTGATGAAACTTCCAAGGGTGATATTCAAGGGAGTCCATCCATTATTAAAGGCAGGAATAAGGTGGTTGAGTGAGGTGGGGAAAGATCACTCTTTTAGTGTTGTTTTGTAAGTTTGGAGTGGAAGTTGAGTACTACTCTTAGTGTACTTACTAATGTTAGGGTTGATTAGGATTGTAAATAACCTTTATGTTATGATATTTGTTTGGGTAAACTATATATTTAGTTATCTAATTATTATTTTAGTTTTATTTTGGTCACTCAATTATTTTTCTTTAAAAATCATCACTAGCGTTATGTTTTTGGTTTCATTTTGATCACACGTCATTAAAAAATTAACAAAATTATTGACATGATATTTTTTTCCTTTTTTAATGATGATGTAATATCATCTTACGATGACATGCCAATATTATCTTAACTTTTTAACTATTATGCCAAAAATATGTGTATCCTTTTTTCTTGTTTCCATTATTCTCTATTTTTGGCTTTATATTTTTTTTCTAACTCACTTCTTGTTCCATTTTTGCACTTACATTACATTTTTGGGTAGAATCTTAACTTTTAGTTCAATGAATTTTGGGTTTTGAAATAATGTCGAGTTTGATAGGGTCAGGGAAAAATTTCACTCATAGGTTTCGATTCAGGTGAGACTCTTCTAAATTTGGGTTGAGCCAAGTGTCTAGTGGAGATAAGAAATCATAGGATTGAGATCAGAATGTTAGATTAAAATCCATAATTATGGTTATTTTCGTATTTAATATGATTTTGTTCTAACAAGTGGTATCATCGTATGTCATGTTAAATCATTGAGAACTAATTGATTTATTTTTAGATTGATTCACTTCTTAGATTTAGGGTTAATATTTCACACGAATGAGGGTATATCAAATTTAGGGTTATTTTTTCGTGCGATTTTAAAGTTTTCAATTATGTTTATGTTTTGGTAACCCTGTTGATTTGCTTTCTAAATTCAGATTATTTGTACTGATTATTTATTTTTTTCTATATGCATTTGAGTTATCGCTAAAGATACCTAGAATATTGACGAACAGTCATGGGAAAATGGTTTAAAATTTTTAGATTCACGTGTTGCATTTGAGGTGAATCATGAATGGTGGCGTAAGTTGGATAATATCATTAGTTTTGATGGATTTAATAGTGTTTATGTTAAATGTTCTCGGTTAATACTACAATTCTATTTTCCCATATGTTATAATATTTCAAAGTTATGCGTCATTATTGAAAGTTGTGGATACTCAACATTTTTATTATTAGAGTGCCTAACTCTTATCTCAATGTTCAATTTAAGAATCTCTTGGATAAATTTAGTCGCATACTTATTAAAAGATTCTCAATTCTTGAAATTGATGTCTAAGTTAGATTATGTGCGGTGATTGTGGATCTTAAATCCAACATTACTAAGGGAATTCTTTAAGGGAATGAGGTTGCATCTTTCTGGCTTCAAGGTTGTATTTTTTTCTTTCTTTTAATGGCTATGCGTTACGCGATAAGAGATTATTATGATATTAAGTTCTTTTATGTATTTGATTTTAGTTTCTTATATCATGTTTTCGTTTAATTTGGTAAATCCATAATTAAGAAATTCTGGAGAAATAGTTAAATATTTATGTTTTCGAGTTCTAATAACGCTTGTTAGACAATTTTATTATAGGTTACTTCGAAAATCATGGCGTGATTAGAAAATTCAATTTTGGTTTTTAACTGTTATGAATTATAGAATATATATTTGGTATTGATATATTCGATTAAATTTGATTAAAGATTTAATTTAGTAGTATGTATTTAACCTTTACTTTTGTTAACATTGGTTATTTTTTAATTCATTTTGTCTTTGTTAATTTAATTCAATTATGCATTAAATGCATGTTTAAGGAATTCTTTTAAAAAATCAAATACTTGAGTTTTCGATTTTTTCTAGCACTATTTATGTAACCTTATTTTGGGTTATTTTGGATATTGTAGTGCAATCAGAAATTTTAGTTTTTTGACCTTTGATTGTTATAGAAATATTAAATTTGAATACTAATTTTGAGACAACTTAATTAAAGCAATAAGTTGTCAAAGTTACCCCAATTATGGAAAATACTTTATAAAGGTTATGTACATATAACTTAGGATATGTTAGTATTGATCGGCACAAAGGAAGATTAATAACTGACATGATCATATGTACAACTTGGTAATAAGCATGTGATTATTTTTTGGTTTGATGTGTGAGTAATAAACTGACCCAAAGGAAGATTTTTTACTTGACATGTTCTTATTATCTATGCTTGGTTACCGCCTCATATATCACTTAAAATAAATATTTTGTCTAAAGATAAAATATTAATGGAGTATTTGATATCTAGAGATAAAATTTAAGTGTTTTCAAATTTATTATTATTTTGGTTATCTTTTAATTTAATTTAAAGATAAATTAAGAGAAATTGATTGGTTGACAATATTTATATGGTTTTATTTATATTGTTAATGCAATATATGTATATTCAATTTGGGTTTTCAATTTTGATTGTTGGTTACTAGAATATATATATTTTGAAACAAATTAATTCATATTATGACTATGTCTGATATTTTGATAGATTAGTTGAAACATAATGTCGCCAAAGTGATCTCTTTTGTGTAGGCTGATTTATTTAGAATATTAAGATGATTACGTGTTTCTTGTTCTTTATGCATTTATTAATGGACCCAAATAAAAGTTAATATTTGGCCGAATTTTAAGAGACACATGTGGTAATAAAATGTGATAATTATAAGGTATTTTATGTGAGCATTACATTAGTCCAAAGATTAGTCTTTTGTTCGACATAGCTTATTGTCAATGTTTGATTACTACAACAAGAGTACCATTTACTATTAATATTACTGTCCAAAGACTTGATATTGATGTAGTGTTTGGTATCTTGAGATGAGAATTAGCCATAATTTTGAATTTATTTGTTTACTTAAGATGTGAGCTTTAATTTTATTTACATTTTGTTCTGTATTCAGCTAATTATTTATTGCTCCCATAATATCTGCTATTATACATTTTCTTCTCATGCTTCAGAAAACGAATCTCAAGGAATGAGAAAATGTAGTTGCATAAGGTTTTGGTTGTATGAACATAGACTTTGCACTAAGAAAAAAACAATTTCCACCTCTCATGGGGGATAACATCCTTAATTGGTATAAGGGATTAGGAGAGGTGATTTTTTTTTTTTCAAATTGCATAAGTTTAGTAGTCACGAAACACAATATTTTAGAAGCC